CACCATCATTCACCATCCTTCACCATCATTCACCATCATTCACCATCCTTCACCATCATTCACCATCCTTCACCATCCTTCACCATCATTCACCATCCTTCACCATCCTTCACCATCATTCACCATAGCCATGTCAGAAGTCCATGTGGTCCTTCTTTGGGATCTCAAACTGCTGTCCTCGAATCGGGGTCCGCCGCCGCTTCTCCCGATCATGGCGCCCGGCGCCTGAATGGAAAGCCTGGTGCCATGGTCATCACCTCCGTCGATGAGTCGAAGACGACACTGGTGCACAGACCCTTAATGTTGGTGGTTTGGATCCCCATCTGACATCATGGCGAAAGGTGCCATCTACTCTCTAACCGGATAGTTCTAACTTCCAGTTCGAACAGAGATCGGTCCATCTCCACCAAAACCCATGCTGCCACGCGGGGTAATCCTTCACGAGCTGGCAGTTTGAACAAATTCACCTGAAAAAAAAGCGAGTGTGACCTCCCAGTTCGACCCTGTGGAAGAAGGGAAATAGACACGTCTACCATCCAAAACCTATTAGGCCAAGAGTCCCCCTACCAATTACATACCCATTTTTTCACCGTTCACCTAACCTGGCGGCCTTTGGACTTCACCACAGCCGGTCACTGGGTTCGGTCTGCTCATTGGCAACTTGGCGTCTACTCATGGAGAAACTATCCATAGAGGCGCGCTGGGATGAACTGGGTGACAAGAATTGGCTAAGCCTTTTAATCCCCATACTCTGGTGGGTGAAACCTTTGCGGCGACGAGGCTGACTTACCGCTTGCAACTTACAACTCAAAACATGCACAAACGACATCAGAGCTGAATCAAAGCATTGGGTTGGGCTGCCATTGGTTTCGTGTCATGCACATCTTGCAAGCCCACGAGAAAGGTGACTGTCAACTTTAGGACCGCAGGAGATCTACTGGTCCATGCCCTGTGGCTAAGTGGCTAGCCAAAAAATCCTATTATAATGTAAACTCTTGATTAGAATATAAGCCCCCTGTATGAAGAGGATGTCCAATTCAAATGGGGGTGTTATCAATCAATAGTCTAGAGGAGGAGACAGGTTGCCTTCAGCTCGTCTCTTTGCCCGGTCGGGTCGTGCTGCCGGTTTCGGGCGTCTCGGTGGGACCGCTCAGCCCCCACCTGTGCCGCCGTGGCCGCCATGGTGGTGCTGACCAGCTGAACCTGAGACGACCAGGTTGGAGCGCTGAACAGTTTGGAAACCCGGAAAGGGGTGACGGATCAGGGACTGGATCAAGGGTTTAAAAAAGGGGTGACGGTCCAAGTGGCCCCAAAGCTATATATATATATACCCTGGGAGTCAAAGACTGTAAAATGAATGGTCTTTAGGTGACCCGAAAAGGAATTTCCTTTACTTCAGTCGGTCAAAATATAGTCTTTGGACTTCTAGGGTATATAATTGATGCTCAATTATATAATAGTGAATGAGGGTGCCTGCATCCAAAAGGAATCTCTACCGGGGGCAAAACTGCTCAGCACCAGAAAAGCCACCCAAAGACCAACGGTGGCGACTCGACCCTTCTGGATACCTCGTTGGGACCCGGACACGACGCTTGAATCTGCCCTCTTTCGGCATGTCCGATATAATGGCGCGCCCGGAAAAGGAATTTGTTCAGGATGTGGTGAATGATGGGTTTTCAAGGTCTTCTGCTGTAAGTCAAGATAAAGGACTAGTGAAAGTATATGCAAACATTCTACTCGACTGGATCCATAGGGATTTGCGGGGAGGACTCACGGGGACCTTCCAACACCCATTTTTTACCCCTGTCCATAGGAGATGTGTTCCCCAATTGCTTGGGGGCCCGCAACTGGTGCCCTTTTGGAGGGTTGGGGCCCATGACAAACAACTAGGGTGGACCAACGAGAAAACTGGGTCAGGACGGTCGGCTTTCGACTCTCACAGTCGTAAAAATTCATTCAGTTGCTTTTATTCTAGTACAACCGAGAACCGAAATCGCGTCATTGTTTTTTCTGGATCATTGTCCCAATCCCAAATCCCCAAGGGATCACTCATGTTTGCTTCAAACTTGTCGCAGTTTTACACCCACTTCCACCGTCACTCTGGTCGCTCCTCCAGTCCCCGCTTGGCCAAGAGGCCAGGGGAGCCTTGGGAGCCTCCGACTCGCGGGCTCTTCGTTGGTCGAGTCGAGTGAAACGATCCGATCGGAGTTGGCCAGGAGTTGGCCATATGGGTTCCATTTGGGGTGGGTTGCCTGAAGGAAGGCCCATCGGCCTTCCATGGTTCTTTTTGGGGCGTATTTCAACACCGACCACTCGTGGAGCCAGGGGGGTTCGGTAGACCTGGAAGCATCCGAGCGTCCCAGCCCTCCATTTACAAACTGACTAAGAGCTGATGATCTGATGACCAGACATGTTCGGAATCCTTGCCCACTCAGTGGAGACAAGAAGTTCTCCCCAGCCAAGCTGCCAAGCCGCCAAGCCATTCGTTGGATCATGGAAACGACTAGCCGTTTCTTTGTTGAAACGAACTCACGAGGTTTTTACACTGATCTACACAGTTCGCCGGATCCTTATGGATCTAGGTTATAATCGTTTTAATCATACCCTGCTCACCTCGTTCCTATACGTTCCGTGCCACGATGTGTTCCGGACACCGCCTCCACATGGAGCACTGGCGCTTCGTGAGACGACACGTTGCTCTCGTGGGCGGTGTGGTTGGCCCCGAAGATCTGCGAAAGGAACAACGATGGGACGGCGGTCTCGGTGACGGGCGGGGTTGGGCTGGGCATGGGGACGGAAAAGGCTTGGATGAGGAAGAGGAAGATCATGGAGATCTAAATGCGTAAATGTCTGTTCCAAGTTGTTCCAATATGGGTCTAATTACTCTTCGTTCATCAAGGAAATCCCTTCGCCCACCCAAAATCTGACGGCTGGTCCGAGAATGAACGGAATTCGTCACGCTGTGATCCCTCCCTGCAGTGGCAAAGCCACATGTGTGGACAACTTCTTCTGGATTCAAAACGCCAAGCTGGTTGAAACGAAACTTGGCGGCCAGGTCCCCAACGCCCTACAGCAGGATTTCCAGCGGTGTTCCGGACGGACTCTGCGTCAAGGGAACAAAGCGTGGTGAGGAATTAAGAGCCTTCGAGCAGCCCCTGATTCATAGAAATCCTATTAGTATTTCCATACGTCGTGACCCACACATCTGGAGCAGAGCTGCAGTGGCGTCCAGGGCCATCGTTTCCAGGAAAAGCCTTGCTGGTTGGTGTTTTCAACCTGAAAAATATGAGTCAGAGGGTCCTTCTTCATCCCCAAGTGGTTGGGTTGAAAAGAAACATATCCGAACCATCACCTAGCTTGTTCACTGCTTGCAGCCGTTGGCCTCCGCAGAACCGAACCACCGGAACCATGCCACGAGTCGACGAGTCGCGCCTCGCCACCCGAGGGATGGATCAGGGCATGAAGATCCCAGTGGAAGATCATAAAGCCAAAGAAGAAGAGCGTGTATCCACCTGAGCCGTGCAAGATATATATCAAATACATCCAAATATCACCGTAATCAATCCCAGACTCGGCGAGAGTCATTCGTAGCTATAAACATAAACAAACAGTCTTTTTGTTTCTTCTGTAGGCGTACTTTCTAGGTCAATCTCTTTTTTAAAGACATGTCATGACATGTCTATATAGAACTGAACTGATTCTCATGAATTCTAGACTCTCTGATTCGATTTCTAGGCACACCCGAAACCCACATGGCCACATGATATGCACAGCAAGCGACCAAGAAGCGACCAACCATGTCACCTGCTCCTGCTCATGGTCAAAAAAACATACACTCCAACTACTACTCCAACTCACAAACATAAAAAGTGGTCAAAGACGGCAAAAAGAAAATCCACTTCCCAAAGCCCTTTTCATGCTTTTCCACTTCGATGTCTTCAGAAAGGACTGGGTCATGTGATGACTGTGATGACCTCCGGATGGGTCGCAGCAGGCGGAGTCGGAACGTCGTCCCGGTCCCAAAAGCACGGTGTGCCCTGCTCTATCCTGCTCTTCGTGGGTCGACGTGAGTGGCCAGTGGGGATTGGAAAAAAAATCATGTCCTTTTGAAGTGGCCCACATGGATTGAATGGAACACCGAATAGAGTTGGTTGGATTTGGAGATTCATATCGGGAGCCCTCAAAATGCCCCTCCTGGTCGATCTTCGCTCACCCGTTTTGGGGGCGAACACTGCAATCTTGGTCGACCCAATTCCCATGGGTCATGTCCCATGTTCATCCATTTTCCATCCATACGTCATTCACAAGTCTTAGTCGAACGTCATCTTGTTCAATGAACCGCATGAACAAGAATCCAACGCTAGCTCGACGTCCAGCTGCCCGGCAGCTGCCGCAGCTTCGCCCAGGCCAAGCGGCTGGCCACCACAATCCACCGCAGCAGCAAACCAATTACAATGACCTTGCGAGGAGAGGCGGCCCCGCTGCAAAGTCGAGTGCGAGGGTTCCAACGACCCGTCGACGGGTGTCGGAGTGGGTCACCAAGTTCCACCTGTGTGACAAGAATTTCTATGGAAACTTGGGTGTGCAATCCAGCAGCATTTGTTCCCGGTTGGCCCATCCAGCAGCATTTGATGCAATTCCCCAATTGCCCAACACCAGCTGACCTGAGCACTATCAGTTCGCAACTGGCATGGTTCTTGGGAAACATTGAACACTGCAAAGGCGCGGAGCCCTGTGGCCCAGGGGCGAAGACCGATGCCACACATCATGCCGGCCAAAAACAAGGTTTGAAAGTTTGAACGTTTTACTGTTAAGCTATGATACCTACCCTGTCCCCAGATCCCCTGTTAAGTGTTTGACAATAGTAAGTGATAGTAAGTGCCTATATACTTACAAGCCACAGGGGCTCAGGGGGTAAGGGACTGTCAAATGAAAATGTGTCAGTTTCCCTCGATCGCGGGGTACGTTTGGCAATGGGGCCTTGTGACCTTGGTCTGCGAGCAGTCCGAGGTCACAAAATTGCGGTAGTGCTGATGGTTGAGTCGACGTCACCCAAAGCATGTGATGGTCTTTTTGGAACGTTGACATTGTCTGACTGGTGCTTAGTAGGGAATGAGAGAATGACCCCTCACTATAGATACCATAGGATCCATTCCCTCATTCTTTACTAAGCACCAGTCAGTTGTCCACCAAACATTCCAAGCTTGCTCTGAAGGTCCTTGCACCGCTGACGTGTCCTTCCAGGTCTTGGTATGTCTCGGTGGCTGGGTTTGGTTCGAGGCTCGGGGGTTCTTCCTTCCTTGACCCCCGCACGGTGGAAGCTAATCCCAATGGAACAGAGATGCAAGGCAAGGTCCACTTTACAGTCGTCTTCTTGGGTCGGGAGAGGCGTGGGGCTATGCGGCTATAGCAATCGGATGCAATCGGTTCACGTGCCACGCCACAGTGCTATGCTTTTGGCATCAAGTGCTACGCGGGGTGGGATGGGGTCGGTATTGTATGTAATATGATATTTCCATACCCTGGGCTTCCAACCATCATTAATTTAATCATAGGCTTTACCGAATCAACTATATAAGGATTTTACACTACAAACACCAGGTCAACCATTTTAAAATGGTTTTGGAAGCCTGGGTATATATATTATATATGTATTAATATAACCATTGCAGCATATTGCAGCCGTTTCACGTGTTATTCCGTCATTGCGCGTGTGCAAGGTGATTCATCACCACAGTTTTGTCGCCGCGGAAGGTTTTCCTGTCCGATTGTGCCGCCTCAGGTCGCTTGCGACAAGGAGACCGGAACATACCGAAACGATGTTTTTGTCATGGCGTTTTGCGCTGCGAATTCTTCTTGTCGTGCTCAGACTTTGTGCCCACAACCGCTCAACAACCGCGCCAATCAACAAACTCGGAAGTTGACGAAGCTTGCCCCCAATCACGTTTTACAAATACAACTATTGCCACCCGATGCCCAAAAAACGAAAACTTCAGGATAGTGCTCTCTCTCTCTCTCTCTCGCTATCACTTGCCAACGTGCAGGACAAATCGGGATACATGGGGATACCATGCAACCTTCCTCTGTTGGGCGACGTGGCCGTCCACCTCTCCGCTTCGCACATCCTCGGGGCCCAAACCTCCCCTGTTTGATGGTCTCGTGCGGCGAAGAGCTCCTCTGCAAAAGCGGGTCGCCAATGGTTGCGAAAACATGCGAAAGCCAAAAGTGCAAAAGGTGCTGGACCAGATCTTCTCAAGCTACGAGTTCTCCCCATAAACCAGGCCTCGGCTTCGCTCGCAAGCTACCATGCTCCCTACTCTCAGCGAACCTACGTATCGTGTCAATAAGCCCCACTTCATATATCTTCGTATCTCGTCCGCCACAGCCAAAGTGGCAAACCATCAGCACGGGCACCCCAGGACGATCTTAAGAGGCGCCGGCGTTTGCAAGCCTCTGTACCACCGCCACTTCTTGCCCGATGGATCGCCAAAGTCGCGGCAGCTGCAGTTGCATGTGGAGTTCGTACACTTCAATCAATGTGGGGGTCGTTTGTTTGCACAATTGTCGCAATTGTCCTATTGTCACCTTGGACATCCGACAACGGGTTTCCCCGAGGTTCGAGTCCCCATCCGAGGCACGAAGAATCTCCGGTGGGGGAAGCCTGGTGAAAGCAAGCGGAGTCCTTAAGCAGTGATCTCTGCACCTGTCAAGGCTCCCAAATCCCAGGTGTTGGGAACATCCGTGCTCCTCTGGGATTCTCCAAGATCCAAACCGAACAGTGGAACTCTGGAGAAGCGGACACGGACACGAGTGGAGCCCAAACCGAGCTTTCAGGGTTGAGCCCCAGAGCATTTAGATAAAGAGAGATAAAGAGGGTCTCCAAATCAGGGATTCTGCAGACCAAGTCCAACTGGTCTAACTGGCCAGTTTGCTACGGTTTTTTGGAGACCCTTTGGCCTTTTCTCCCCTTCTTCAACTCAGGGGAGTTCCCCAAACCGAACGCGTCCAACGTTCGGAAGGCTCCCTCCGGGAAGGAGCGCCCCCTGTGGTGGAAACCCAGCGCATGGACCTATAACCAACGCGCATGGAGGTTCCGACCCGGAGCTTCAACAGGTGACCCACCCATGAAGACGAAGACTTCAGCTGACGATCGACCGCACACCTCCAACCGCATCGGTGGTTCACCCATCGGGCGGTGGTGTTTTTCCGTCGAAATCTTCTAGTGCATCGTGACGAGTAGCAAGAAGCTACTCGTGGTTTAAGTGCTGGGAAAGAAACAGAAAGTTGGATAAAACCGTGGACAAAACATGGTTCCCTAGCATCTCGAAACATGCCGGAAGTGTGTGCGTGCTGTTCTACCAAGTAACCATGTGCTCATTTGGTGGATCAAATTCCGTCAGGAGATATTCACCTGCGCAAGTTTGTATGTGGAGGGTTGTCAGTCCCCCGTCCCCACCCACTGAAGGAGGATCTGGACCTGGAGCCAACGACGACTACCCTGGCTGACTACCGTCCCCGCTTTCTCCACAAACTCCCTGCAGTTCCTGCAGTCGTCCTAAGACTTTCCAGTCGCTAATGGGAGGATGCGCCTGCCACGGCGCATCACCCGACCCGGGAAGAAGTGGTTGGGCAGGTCCGGCATTTGGAAACAGTTGGGCTAAATGAATATAAAAATATAGATCTTCCATGATCTTCCTGGATCTTCATCTGTTCAACCAGGCTGTAGGCCCTGGGTTTGTTCAATGGTTGTCATAATATGTGTTCCGTCATCTCCGGCCCTGCTCCAGAATGTTCCGGGCAGTTCTATTCTCAACACCCATTATGTCTATACTGCGAATCATGTATCTCCTGGTCTCAAAGGAACTGCGCTGCATCCATCAAACGCATCAGGAAAAAGAAGGCCTTCTCAGCGCAGTTCGCCTCGCACAAACCACTACATCACAAGGGTAGATTTTCTGGTGCTGTGAAGGGCAGAATTCATCAGAATTCTCTGGTGCTGCTTCAGAATCGCCAGTTCCTTCTTCCAACCCATCCCATCACTCCCTCCAACTCCTCCACCCCAGTCAATCACCTCATTCGCGGCAGAGGCGGAGTGCCCGACGGCCACTGGACGATCCGGTTCCTCGGGCTGTTCCTCCTCCTGCCGTGGGACCCCTTCCACCCGGAGAAGCGACACAGCGGGGAGCGGGGTGTGAGTACAAGGGCGGGGGACGATGAGGGGGACCGATTGATGGTACTGGGAAAGAAGGTCTGGACCAGATTGAGGGAATCTCCTCACCTTTCAAGCGACTGATCCCTCTTTGGTTAAAAGACGCCAAGCTCCTGCATGGATGACTATGGTACGCTGGCCCTGAGGACACTAGACACAGACTCAATGACTGCTGTACTGAAAATATCGGACCATCGTTTGAGGTGAGATTTCGGAGAGCGCAGGCAACTCCATTTGGAGCGGTTTAGACTAAACTGAAAGCCTGTTTTGACTGAGCGGAAAGCGCAGGAAAGACTCTCTGTGGCTTGGACTAGGGGCGACTTCCATTCAGGTCAACTTTCGGGAAACTTTCGGAGGATCAAAACCAGAATGTGATCGGGTACTACTTACTTGGGCGCCGGGTGTTGATCCGCTGCATGGGGCATTCCCCCTGACCATTCCTGGAAGAGCCTACTACCTGGACCCAACCCACTGATGAAACCTCTCAAAGACCTCCGGACATTCTCCCAAAATGCGCTTCAACCAGCCAGCTACGGTCTTAACGCGCCAATAGTAGGAAAACAGAACAATCAGAAACAGTGCCTCTCGATCGAACGTTTCAATGATTCACAATATAGATCAACATAGGATGCTTCTCGTTAACAGTTATCTGAGTTATCTGTATTTAGTCTTGGATTGTCTTCAAAAGCATAAAGGGCAACGATTATACTTGTACTGTGGGTTTTGTCATTGCATTTCTTTTCTTCCCTTTCTTTCATGATGGTATCAATCCCGCAATATGAAAGTTTCGACAAATGAGTTCCTAGGTCAATCAGCTTCTGAAAAAAATAAGAAAATGGCAAATGAAATCAATTAAAAAGACATTTTCCTTAACTGTCCCTAATAGACAGAACATGTTGGTGAACAACAATCCATTGACTCTTGGCCAAGAATAGAAACTTTGGGTTTCTTCCCCAGAATTGAACCGCTCCTTTTCTTCGCCCGGCCCGTCTTGAGACCAAAAAGGCCCGAGCTCGCTCGCTGGAAGGCTCGTCGCTCGCGTCCTCGATGTGCCCTGTGAGGAGGTTCACTCCGCCGCCTCCAGCGTCCTCTCCGGCCTCGGAGCGAACCGAGACACCGCACCGGTGCAGTCAATGGACACCCCTTAACCTCTAAGAGGCTATTAATGGACACCCTTTCCGTGGTGCTGGACTGGGTCCACCGAGCTTCACCACCTAATTCACCGCACATATCCGCACATTCACTTCTCTCCTTCAAAGGGGATGTTCTGCTTCACCAGTCGTCAAAAGAGATTACCGAATTCGCTCGAATCGATGTCTTCTCCCTTACCTGCCTTACCTGATCTCTCTTGATCCCTGCCATTATATAAGTCCGCTTCGGCTGTGAACTGTAAACAAAAGGTTGCAAAAAAATGGGATTAGCTCGTAATGCCCAAGACCAAACCCCATGAAACACCCCAAACCAACAGTTCAAGACCACCACAAAAGGCACTAAGACCGTGCGTCGACGTTGAGAAGCGCGTCTTAACGTGCCGTCGTGCGAGCATGACGCAGCGGCCCGTGGGCATTTCACAAGCTCCTCCCGCAAGAACTACGATGCCACCGAGCTGGAGTTTCCCGACACAATCTATACCAGTGCCCCCCCATTTCGGGTTTGTCTAATTATAGCTCCTTAGAGGTGATTCGGGGTCTCCATTAACCACCCCTTTCCTCCATTAACCACCCCTTTAGGGGGCTCTGGTAGGAACCAAATCAGTGGGAGCGCGAGCTGTCCTGCGTCCTAGCTGGGAGCTTCCTATTGCTAGGAGCGAACTGTATACTCCCTTACTCAATTGAGTAGGCGCCTACTTAAGTATAGTAAGTAGGGGTGGCTAAAGACAAGACAAACCTTTGGGGCCTTGCGGAGTTTGTTTGACCAACAGGGACCCGGGAGCTGAGCAGCTTTGACGAGTCAAACCTCCCGCTGAGCGGCATCTTCTGCGCTGGCCAGCCACCGGCCCTCCAACATCCCCATGATGAAGCGGGCATCCTCCCGTGCCTCCGCGATGCGCGGTCTTTTTGCGCGTCCAGCAGCGGGGGTTGAGAGTACCATGGGCACCGGGGGAAGTTGGGTGTGCTGATATTGATATTGGATTGAAATCAAGATCAGCAGTGTCGCTGCATGGTGTAATATCATGTAATATCTACAAATCAAATAAAACCCAAGGCAGTCGGGCTAGCCCACAAATGACCATCCCAACATATCAGTTGCTGATCCTCTTGGTGAATCTACAAAAAGGTCTTCCAATGCCTGTGTCGTCAAATCTAGTATCCTCCTCCAAGCAAATAGGCAAGTATGAAAAGAATTTAAGCAAGTACCTGTGCCGCAATCCGAAAAATGTGCAGAACTGTTGGTGGGTCGGTCCCACTGAGCAGGATTGCGAGATTAATCCACTAGCACCCCAGGCGTTCCGAATCCCGTGCCGCTGGTCACTAGAGCGACCCCCCACCTGCTGGGAAGCCTCAATGAACCAACAGACTGGAGGGACCTCGCCAAAAAACAGTCAGACCATCCTCACCGGTCGTCACCCCACACGAAGCCGGTTCCCCGAACGCCGGGCCGAAAAACCGGGCACACACGACCCCCCCCCAAAGACGACCACAGCGGATTGCCCAGACATCCGCCGGTCCGCCCGTTCCCCGCCCGCGGGCGTCTACGGCCGGAACACACGGCGGAGAACCACGCCGCCTCCTGGCCATAGTTCTCGCGCTTGGCGATCGTGTCGAGCCTGGGCTTCACGTGGCTTCACGGCTTCACGGGCCCGGCCCGGTGGGCACGGTGTCGGCACGGCGCAGCGGACGGACTGCTTGGTTCCATCGAGAATGGGTGGAAACCACACGGACATCTTCGGGACTTTGGAAACCGAATCGCACAACGTCAATCTTTAACGACGAGTAGCCAGGCATGCATCGCGAAGAGCAAGGGCACCGAGAGGAACATTCCTGCCACCGATGATGCTGAGTATCTGGGTAGAGATTCGTTTTGAACCTCGCCCTAATTACCTTCCTTGAGGTCCCCAAGCAGATAGAAACCGTTTGCAGTACGCTGAATGGGGCCTGGTAGGGCGTTTGGAGAAACAGTTCTCGCTTTGCCTGAGAAAACTGGGTTTGCTTTTTCAGAACAAGCCGTGTTCCAGGGGCTTGCCAGGCGAGTGTGAAGAAACTGATCTAGTTAATCTAGTTTTGAGCTAAGAGCTCTGTTTCTAGATTCTGGACCCAAACAAATCACGAAAGAAAGGACCTCCTCGACATCCTCACCCTCCGCTCCCATTCTTCTTCGAACCCGGCCGTACTCGGCCGTGCCATGCCGTGCCTACGCCGCCAGGGTCGTTCCCCACGACCGAGCCCGGCTCCGTGCTTCGCACCGGTGTGCGGACGGGACCGTCCGTGTGGAGCTTCGGCCGGTCCTGTGAAGCCCCAAATGTAGCCGAAGAACGAGAGGCCCAGCAGGACCACCACACTGTGGATGTCCTGGAGTTCTTCAGAACTCAGAGTGCGGCAGGGGATACGCACCAAATCTTACGAAGCTCCTCATGAGGAAGCTCCGGGCCCGCTCAGGAGCTTCCTAAGGAGGTGTTTCAACCGTCCTTTTCGGGGTTCCGACCCTGGCCGCCCTGACTGACGGGTGACTGTTCCGGGGTTCCGGTAGATCAACCCACGTGCGGAGGGGTTGACTGCAAGAGTGGATGATCACCTACATGAGGAGCACTAGGATTGTTCAAAGTCAGAAGGTCTAAGGTCTATGATGTTTGGAATGGAAGGGGTTCCCCAAATCTAATGTCCAATCTCAGCCATTCCCAATGAAAACCAACGTCCAATATGGGTGTGTATGAAAGGCCCGCCAGGGTTCGACCCCCTAGTCATGAGGTCCCAATGACACCATCTAATAACTGCTGTTGAGTACACATGAGAGTTCCAAAGGCCTTGGAGGCCATCAAAGAGATTGGTGTGAAGCCTGAGTACATTGGAATCAAATCCAGATGTAGATCCACCCAGTGTGGTTGGAGGGCCACCTTTTTCGACTTCGGAAGGCTGCCAAGGTCTCCAGTACCGTTGTGAACATGTTTTTTACTGTAGTATGTTTAAGTACCCTACAGGTACATTCTATAGTGGCTATGGCTTAGGTTGTCCCTGTGCTTGTTCCTTGTCAGATTTTTTTTGGAGATACCATGGCTTTGTATTTGAATAGGGAGACCTCCAATCGCCCCAATGAGTGAGGTTGGTGTGTTTTCCATCCATCACTATCACTATGACTGTATCACTATCAGGTGGACCTACGTATCCCAATCATTCCCAATCCATATAAACCATTAGGACCATAACCGCTACTACCAAGAGAGGTTTGAAGAACCCCATAGACTCTCCCAGTTGGGTACCCCTCTGTTAGGTCCTATGTCACCTCTACCTCTCTTGGAACACCGCTATCTACATCTACTACCGGCGCGACATGATGGGGCAATCCGAGTTCGGTCTGGCGCCGTCGGTCCAACCGACCATCGATTCGCCGGAGCCGGGCGTCTGAGTGAATGTTCTGCCCCAGCCCTAGCCGTAGCCTACAAGAAGCATTTCTTTCCAAGTCGCAAAAGAAAAGACATACAGGCAGGCCTTTTTTGGCTATTCAGCTCTGACTTGAAACTTTAGCCACCTTTCCCAAAGACACTGACTTCACAAATCTTCACAGTCAACTTCAAACCCTCCTTCGAAACCGGCGCGTCTTTTTGTCGAACCGTCGATATGAGGTCCGTCGATTGGACATCACCCGCACATTGGCGGAGCCCGGAGGCAAACCCAAGAGCCGGAGGACGACGGTCTTCGTTTCAACACAAACGGTCGAAGTCCGTAGGCCACAGCATGGAACAAGGTCTGGATGGTTGGGTCTTAGATTGAAACGGTATCCAACACATATCAACTGGAACTCAATATGTCCGATTGGTCACATTAGAAGGAAACGTGTCGACTGTCTTTTTTGCATCAGCAGGGAAGGGGGTAGTTGGAGTAACCCATTAGCCGGGCCTAGCCGAGGATCTGATCAAGTTGATGGGAATGGGAAACAAACAAACTTGAAATCTGCTAACATTGCTAACATCCTCCACCTCATTCATTCGAGACGGTGAAACAAACACTTGGAACGCCACTTGGAACACTTGGGCGACCAATCAGATCGACCCAATTCCCAGGATATCAGGGGAACACAAATCGTGAGAGGTTTAAACAGTTACAGTGCACTTCATCTAATAGTAGGGTGCGTTTGGCCAGCATGTGCCCGAGGGGAGATCATGAGGAAACCGAAAGCGCTTAGGTGTTGCTTGGGAAAAAGAAAACTTAAGTAAGTACCCTTTAAGCAAAAGCTCCTTGCCGCTTCAAATAACTTAGGAAGCTCTCACTCCCCCAAGAAAAGGTCTGCGCGGCGTCTGGTGGTTGCTGGTGATAAAAGTGTCTAATGTCTGCTCTGTTTCCACAGCTGTTTGGGAGGCTGCCCAATTGTTCAAGCAGACCCACATATGTCCAAGCAGACCCACATATCGCCCCAATACCAATAAATCATCCGAAGTTTCTATCATTTCATTGCCATCCGCCATCTCACGACTCTGGGTCTGCCCACCATAGGCGCCCAGTTAGCGAGCCGCTCTTCAGTGTTGAGCGTGCCGGGAATGCCGAGCGAACTGGGATCAGCACCAGCGTCGGGAAAACTGGGTCAACCTTGGGGAAAATGTCCCCGAGCAATGGACCTTCATCTCACCTGGAGCTCGGCAAGTCTTTGCCCTGGCAGCCACGGCTCTTTGGATAAGGCAGATGATCTCAGCATGGCGACGAGACAATCGTAGAATCTTAGACATCCAAATGGATTTCTCCTAAGATCTCCTAAGCATGTGTAGCATGTGTATAGTTCTGATCAGAAACACCCAGCACAAAAAGGGCTGCACTGAAGGGCAACTGATATACGGTGGGCCCTGCGAACAGGTGATTCTTCACTTACATGAGTAGTTCCAGGGAGTATAACCCCGCAATCGCACATGTTGAGCAGAAAAGACTAGACCCAAAGCTGCATGCACGGCGGCACGCCGATGCTTCGAGATCATCTGCACCAGCAGAGCATGCAATCGACAGACTTCATGCGGATTGCATGCGATCACCACAATTCGTCGGGATGCGATTCCGCCAGGGCGGGGGTCGGGTGGAAGAACGAAGAAATCGACGTAGAGATCTGTCGTTGTTGGCGCCGTGGAAATGGACACGCCAAGGTTCGACCAAACACCGAGTCCATCGCAGCACATCCGAGCTCTGACATCCGATGACCGAGAAAGGGAGTACCGAATGGGGCCCTGGTACCGGCTATGAGATGTTCGTACAGGAAAAAAGAAGGGTTTCTTCATGTGTTTTGCAAGCCAAGGAAGGGGGGATGACCCGTCAGTGTCTCATAGGATTTAGACCTTTTGGGGCCAGTGCTTCGGTGCACGGAGATTGCTTTACCACTGCCAGCTGCGCGGACCCTGTCGGAGTCACTGCCACAAGCCTAGGTCGCTCCACTGGTCGCCAACTGGGAAGCGCAAGGTGGGCGTGTATCTTAGTCCTGTTCGAGTGGTCCGTTCATCGGTCAAGGGGGCAGGTGATGGAGAATCCCCCAAAATCCAGTGGAGTTTCTCCACATCACCCGGAGCTTGGCAATCCAACTTGCCCTAAAGAATCCGGGCCCCTTCAGCAACAAATAGGGTTTTGAGGGCCCGGACCCCTGCTATGGAGGGTCCAACCCCTGCCATGGAGGGCCCAAGCCAAGTAGGTCGAAGCCAACAAGCCTAACTGATATCACTGCCCCTGCAAGGACACAAGCGCCCCAGCAGAACTCCAAAGAACCCCACATCCCGACAGCTAGTGAAGGATCACCATGTGTCCGGCAACAAGTTTGATCAGGACAAATTGTCTTGGTCCTGTCTGGAAAGCGTTTGATCACTGCATGGGTGATTCAACCCAAACTGATTAGGCTCTTTCGTGGGGATGGACACTGCAAGTGTTCATCCAGTGGGTTCTCCAATCTTGACCAACCCTCATGTGCCAGAAAGCTCAGCCCATGCTGAGTCCTGCATCCATTTGGGTCGACTGAGTCCTGCCGCTTTGACAAGACGTCCAAGCCGACTCTCAGATGCCAAAGACCTCCAGTGCATCGGGGAAGGCAGTCGGGGAAGTCGGTCCTACTGCTCCACCCGATGGAACCGCTGGAAGTCCTCCGCTCATATTTCGGAGCAAACATGGTGATCATTCTTGACTTCGATTCCTGCCAGTGACCCAAGTGTACTCTTCTTAGTGGCTTTGAGATCGCCAGATCAGGGGAGAATCGTGAGGTGTCTCCTTTCCCTGCATGCGCTGGCACCTTTCTGCCAGAACACCACCTTGCGTCTACCCTAGATCTAGTTGGGTGGATGCTTACCTGACATTTAAGTAGATCTTGTTGGAGATGGACTATAGATTAGGTTTTGTCTGCCAACCCCAAGGGACATGTGGGGAAGAATATACCTAAAATCAAAATTATGTATATACATCAAATAGTGCGAGGTCCTTTCTGCATGGTGAGCGGAAGAAGTCGAAAAAGAAATTGAGGCTGTGACCAAAATGACACCCTGATGAAATCTTGGCATGTGTCCTGTCATGTGACATGATGCCAAGAGACAGTCTTAGACTACCTAGGGATGGCGGATGGTCCTCACAACTATAAACTTCTGGGCACTGGGCCACACCAGGATCTACAGGCTGTTCTTTCACTCAAGTACACGTTTATCTGTCAAGTTCACGTTCCATGGACAACATGGACCCTGGTTCCATGGGAGCAAGCCATGGTGCTCGAGAAAAGTAAACCAACATATCCAGTGGCTTTGACCATCCATGTCAGTCTTCAGCAGGGCAAGAGGCAGTTCAAGACAAGATTGTTACAACAAACAGCACTGGAGGTGTTACGGATGCACTCCCACAATCGATGGGAATATCAACAATATTGTAAAGACTCAAGACCAAGAAAGATCTGGGAACAACTGCCGCTCACACTTTGGAGATGGTGGGAAAAAATCCTCAGCAGTGTCTCTCTCTCTCTCTCTACCAACCTTGTTCTGGTACCTCAGTCGTTGTTCTGGTTCACTCCCCCGTTCCAAAGCCTGCGGGACACTCAGCAGTGTCCCTCCCTCCCGTTGCGACGCTCACGACGCTCACGTTCTCAGACGTCCGGCCTCAGGAGATCCGTTCCTCACACGCCCCGGACCCGCGGAAGCCCCTCGGGTCTTCTCGCCGAAGACCGCCTGAGTGGGCGCCGCCGTTCGGGCCCCTGCCGCGGGCCCGACCCTCAGGGGGGACCGTTCTTGTGGCCGTCTTCGTCCTTTCGCGAGACAAAAACAAATCCCACTCGATGTATCTCCGGACTGCCAGTCCGGACTGCCGAAACGGCCAGGGGTGGTGCCAAGGGGGGTCAATGTAGGCATATATCATATATATGGATATATATATATATGGCAGTCCCATGGAGTGTATGGGAACAAATACCGGTGACCAAAAGGCGAGGCGTTCGAGTCTGGCGGGGCTGTGATACCGCCGGTGATACGCGGCCGAAGCGGAAAGGCCGAATAAGACGGCCTTAAAGCGGAAAGACGGCCGACAGATGTTCCAAGAAATGGGTGATTGAACTGAAGGAAGGGAGGTGATCAGGGTACACCTGTTTTGGAGGGCACTTCAATACTGGTCTTTGTTCTTGGGAAAATGAATGTGATGATGTCTTTTTCTCAGAAATGTGGCAAGTGGGTGCCTTTCGTTGGCTTTTTGGTTCGTTTGCAATTACCACCTCAACACAGCTTCGGGACTGTTTGAGGTGTCACTATTGTGGATCGCGACCTGGTGAATCATCTCCTGAAACACTTGCATTTAATTTGTGTGTCTGTACGCATGAGAAGGGTATAGAGTATGTATCAGGAGAGCAAGGTCTTCTTTGCGTACGATATTCGTGCATGTTGATACATTGATATCTATACAATCTCTCACATATTCAATCCCCCATCGAACTTGGGGAAGAGTAAGACACATCTGAAAAAGCCTGCATAGACGTGAATGAAAACACGATCACCAATGCTAATACCCCTACAAATCCAATATATATATAGAGAGAGAGAGACTCCCACATAGATAGAAAAGCAAAATACCTTTCAACAATGTATTGGAAACCGTTTCTATCAATTTGGGGACCCACTATCATTAACACAATTTGCTCCCAATCCTGGTTTTCTTCTGCGTTTGTCAGCTTCAAAGTCTGAGATGACTCTCACAAATGTTGGGTAATTCATGAAACGAGCTCCTTTTTGCCGCCTGCAACATGTACCAAACGATGTTTCGTCTCACTCGAACTCTTCTCTTAGATATTCCAAATGCTGGCTACGATGGAGCTCCTGAAGACATAGGGGTTGCTAAGGCTTGGCCAATTGAGCTACATACAGAAAGCAAGGTCAGGCCGCCTCATTGGTGGGCTACAAAAAAAACAGAGAAACGCACCAACCAACAAAATACGTCTGCTACGCAACACGTCGCTTTTTGCGTCGCTTTGTGCGATAGGCTTCGTAGGATGAACCCAACCAAACCTCCCTCCCTCGGCCCCGGCGCGGAACCGAAACGCCCTCTGCACGGGTGCCGAACCTTTCCGCCCCGCCCCATTCCGTGCCATGTCAGGACGGACCACGAATCACCCGATCGCGGCCCGGTCAGTCCAATTCCCTTTGGTTCTTAGAGCAAAGCTCCCAACGGTCCGATTTGAGGAATGCACCACTTGGAAGACTCAGCCAGGACTTGAGACAGAAGAAAGCCCTTTTTTGGGAGATCTCGGAGCTTTAGACAATTGGAACGATGCTTTGGTTTTTGGTTCAAGACTCATTGGACCTGCCACGGTGCAGTGAATCTGGATCGGTCCAACTCACCCTCACTGGGCTGCCCTCACCCAGGTTGCAGCGACACTGGCCACCTTCACAGGGGGCGCCCGTGTTCCTTTACCGAGACCTGTGTTCCACGTGAAACAGGGCGAAAATGGAACGGGAGAGAGACCTTCGTCTTGCCCGTTCCTCAATACCGGTCCCCAAGGATTGCTTCGTTAAAAATCTCGATTGTATTGTGCTTCTAGATGGCAGCCACAAAGAAGCACATGGGAAGAAGCGTCTTGAGGGAGGTGTGCACCAGTCTACACTTTGGGATCGATCATCCTGGGACATCCTGGCGATGGACACCATTGAGTTGAACCCAAAGCGCCCAAAGGCCCCTTATGTTTGTTATGCGCCTATACATCTTTAGGGATTTGAGTCGAGACCCTGAGTTCCTGTGCAGTTTTAAAAACTCTGACCGGAGCGTGAATGGATAGGATATTTTATACGTAACTGGGGGTATCCATATCAAGGTCCATGGCCGGGCCGGCCCACTCTCTTCCACGAGAGAACAGAACCCCCCTTGACCAGCAAACCGGTGACAACCATTGCACTGGCAATGTGATCAATGGATCTTAATGCATCTTAAATATGGTAAATATACCAAATGTAGAACTTGTCGAAAAAGGATGGCTCAAAAATAAATAGAAAGACTAAGGACAATAACAAGGTCTAATTTAGGATAACAAGTTGATGGAATTGCATAACAAGCTCTTTCAAGGGAAGATACGGGCTGTTAAACAGAATTGTCCAAAAAAAAATAGAGTTAAATATTCCACTTATTAGTTCAAATCAGAATCATGGTTTGTCATACAAACTGAACATATATTGACATATGTATATAGTTATATACAGCTTGGTTGGTCACAAGCCCTTGACGGCATCATGCACTAAAAGAAAAAAAACACCCGTGGTCCAAGGCCCTGTAAAACATTATATTCCTTGTTGCCCCTAGTGCTTTGCAACTTGCAACACATACAAATTCAAAAGGCTTGGACCTTGGATAGGATTGGATATGTTCGGATGGAGTTGTGGATCTGGTCACAGCTGGTGGCACTACCACTACCACTACGTACCACTACATACCACTGCGACTAGGAGACTACGACTCCTACGGCTACTTCTACTTCTACTACTACTACTACTACTACTACTACTACTACTACTACTACTACTACTACTACTACTACTACTACTACTA